CGTCACAATTGGCTTTGGTTTTACTTCTGATTGGATGAAAAGGTGGCGCGAATCTTTTAAGCCAATCGCATCGTGTAGAAAGTGCAAAACCAATTACTTTTCGACACTCAAATGAAAACCGCTCTATAACTAAAAACAGAGTATAGTTTAATATCTTTAATAGAATTTTTACTAGTGTAATATAGTGGCAGGTGTAGCAATTGTTTTAGAGTCTGAAAACAATTAGTAGACTTGCAAATTACACTTTATTACACCAATTTATTAGGGTGACCCCAGCATAACTCACGTTTTCGTGTTTTTCAGATAATATTGTTTTTGCCTTAAAGGGGTGTGTTTCGTACTTCACTAGCCTGTGCCAGGCTCTCAGATAGTATAGTGGGGATGTATTAAAACGAGCAGAGCAAAAAATGAGACACGTGCGACTTGGGAAAGGGGGCGGTGGCGGCGGGAAAAATGGGAGAGAGAGGTTCCGCCGCCCTGTCTCTCCCCGGCCCCCACGCGTTTTTCGCATTTGTTTTTACTGAACGACTTTCCACCACTATCTCGGAGCCTGGAACAGGCTATACTTCACAAGCCACGCAAGGCTTTATTTAACATCAACAACGTCTCTCGCGAGCTTTGAAGGCTAACGTTATGTAATTGGCGTGCAAGCTGAAAAAAAAGGAATTTTTTTTTCATTTGAAATGTTCAGTAGTTGTTTGGACTTTGATTGTGCCGTAGATAAACAAACGATCGTGCCAATAGAGCAAATACTCGGAATACAGACGTATCTATCAGTTGTAAGTTACTCAAGTTCGTTATTTTCGTGTTTTTTGAGTGGCGGTGTCTGTTCTTTGGTTTTTGGGGTATGGTTGGGAAAATGTGGCGATTACGTCAAAAGCCATTGATTTGCAAAGCTCCAAGATTATTAATGCAAAGATGGGGCAGAATATCACTTCGGATTTGAACATATAAAATGGGCTCGCTACATGCTGAAAAATCCAAAACTCCGACGAAAAAATCAAACTACTTTTTGCTGGTGTCACTTAAAATGAACTTTTTTTTTCGCTTTTGACAGACGAGAAATGAATATGCATCCACAGGCATCCCTACTCTCTATGTGAGCGTTTGTAAATACGTTTATTAATAGTGAGTAACATTTCATAGGTTTCATACGAGAGGATTGAGACGCAGGAACTTAAAAAAAAATCGTCCTTTTTTTTTATAATGTTGCTACATTTCGTTCTTTTGCTTTTTAAAATTATTTAGGTTGGTTTTGCGATCCTGTGTTATCCATCGATTGATTAAACGAACTAATGAAGGTTTTCGCAGTTTCCAACATGAATTTTACTGAAACACATGGGCTCTTCGTAGATCCTACCAAGCGTCTAGGCTTGGGATGACTGTGCAGCAACATGCCAGTTTTTGTGTTTGTCGATACCTGGGATAAGAAAAAATTAACTAAAAAACTTTAAAAATTTGGTAAATCGACTGTTAAGAAGGCTTTTACACCTCTGTAATACTGTTCACTTTTCTTGCAACTCCCCACCTCCTCACCTCACCCCTCCCCCCCGGCGGCTCCCCAAGTTTTGACCGAGTGGAGCTTGGGACCAGGGGAAACCAAGATGGCGCCTGATAATGGCGCCTTTTTAGTTCAACTTCAAATCTAATCGGAATGCGCAAGGATTCTGCAAGAACGTGGCTTGGTCTTTCAGTTCAGTGGTTTATTAACTTCTGGATCATTTAACTGTGATGAAAAGAAAGTACTTTATTTTGAACAAAAGAGCTCAAGTCTGTGTACAAACCCTGGTCAATGATGACAATTCAAAGCACTGATCTTGCACTGCATGGAGAATTTTGATCAAAGTACAGGTAAGATGTAACGCTTTAAGCTTACAAGTAAATTTTAGAGCTGGCGAAACTTCATAGTAGTAGCTTAGCTAAGAATTTTAAATTATGTCCTGTCAGAACTGCTTGGGTTATTAAGGTGATTCCCTAGTAAAAGAACATAACATAGATTGTACATGAAACTTGGTACACTGATGTAACAAGTCAAGAAGATGATAAAAAGGTAATAAAAAGTGGGGGTTACCGTGCTCTTTTTGACGTCACAATGCTGACATATACGGCTATTTTGGACCCTTTGACAAAAACCGCGCGCAGCCCAAAACTAGACAAAAAGGAAAGATTTTTTCAATGATGCACGTGGTATCACACAGAATTTGACTTTAATGTATTGTTTATCCACTTACATACCAGAAAAATGCCTTTTAATGCCCTTGTTTTTACTTTATGCTCCAAAGTAGAATTAAATTGGACACGCGCTATTCGACACGTGATAGCTGAATCCGTACAATTTAGTAAGATTGCCAAAAAACTGAACATAGATTGGTGCCAATTTTTTTCTCACCGAAAGGAAGCACTGTCCTTATTAAAATCATGAAATAAAAAATGGAGGTCACCGTACTCGTTTTTGCAGTAGAGCTGCAGAAAGTGCGCACCAAATGCATTTTCCTTGATTTTTGAGAGAGGACTGGGGCGAGTTTCAAAATAGAATGTATGCGAAAGGGGGAAGAAAGTATTAAAAAAATCCGTTTTTACAGAATTTACATCGAGATATCACATTTAGGACACGGTTTGATAAAGAAAGCGTTTAAATGAAAATCAAAGTGAATAAACACAAATTAAACATCCACTATCGAGGTTCTCCGTGAGGAAATCGAACTCAGCAACATGCATACTGCTTACCTTATGCACATTCCCACTACATTGAGTCTCACCTCGGCAAGAAAAAAACGCAAACAAAATTGCAATAGCGTTTCTCTTCGGTCAACTTCATTTTAATAATGTTACTTCACATGCTCTTTTTTACGGAGGCCATCTTGTTATGCGCAGTAAGAGATGCGCAGTGCAAAACCAGGGAATCACCTTAAAGAGGGATCAGCTAGGGACAGGTGGGTAGTCAAAATGTTGTGTGTTGGTGTACTGTACTTTTTTTAAAGTCACATGCCCATTTTCTTAGCTAGTGCTGGCAGAAATGGAAAGCTACAGAGCGATTCATTTTTTCTCCATTTTTTTGTGGTCTTCATCCTGTTACCCCTAACAGTGACCAGAATATAAAATTTTTCCTCATGATAGCCTTCATAAAGAGTCAATTTCTAGAATGGTCCCTTCCACGTTTTTTTCAACTTTTACAGTCAAACCTCTGTTGAGCAGCCTTCTATTAAGCCGTCACTCTGTATTAAGCGGTCACCTATCAATTTTCCGAAATTTGCTTCCCGTATAATTTTTTTGTAAAAATTGACCTTTATTCAACGGCCACCTCTATGAGGCAGAGACGTTCACTGTTTGGATTTCCCATATAGCTAATTTTATTGTAATTTACCTCTGTTACATAAAAATCACTAAATGGCATATTTTTAATCACAAAGAACTCTTGCTGGCACTGAGCAAAGTCAATGACTTGCTTCACCAAATTAGACAACCATAACTGAATTTCTTTCTTCAGGTTCAATAAGATTTTAAAATTGCTGATGATGTGCTGGATTGTAAAGACACACTCCCTTATGAACGACTGTAAAAATTTGTTGTTTAGGCATGAACTCCTCAGAACATCCAATAATTTTAATGTATATCTGTCTCTGTTGTTGTAAATAGAATAATCAGTTTTTGCCCTCAAGGTCAATTTCTGCCACATTATGGGTTTAATTTTAGTGGTCACCTTGCTAATTCCTGAGGGTGACCGCTTAGGAGAGGTTTGACTGTAATATGGACCTGTTAGTGAGATCTGTTGACACATTTTACAAAATACAAATTACAGCAGAGAAGTCAACAAGTCTCTGCTTTAATTTGTATTTTGTTTCCATTTTTCCATTCATTGATATTCTCTTAATGCTCTCTTCTCCTTCTCCCCTCTTGTTCCCTTTCTTTGTTTGTTGCCATTACTATCACTACAGTGGAAACTCTATGGGGACAACCTTGGGATGTGAAAAAAGTTTCCATTTCTGGAGCTGGCCATTTACAAGAACGGTTCTCAGTATGGGAGCTTGCCCGACTACCAATAAGCATAGAAAATTCAAAAAACCTTTTAGTTAATGTTTTTTTTTTCTTGTTGCTCTGACAATGTTGTAATTCAGTCACAAACATAAAATTCAAGTGGTGTTTTGAAGTGTAACTGGTGTGTATACAAAGAAAAAAAAAACACCAAGGCTGACATAAATTCATTGTGACGAACAGTGTTATAAAGTTGCATAATAAGATTCTATTTGCTCAGGTGTCTGCTTACGGGAGCTTAAAACAAAGCCAAAATCTAACTCATAAACCCTGAAAGTGTCCACAGCTGCCTGGCACAGAGATTATCTGCTTATGGGAATGTAAAAATACAGAGTTTTTATTGGAGTTGAAACATGGTTTTTTGAAGGCAGCCATAAGTAGAACTGTTCACTTAAGAGAGTGTCCGTTTCCACTGTATTTCTATTATTCCAGTGAACTTATGTGCCCTGGCCCCCTTTCCCTATGCAACTCCCTTGTCTCCTTTCATCCTTCCCTATGTGTCTTTTGTTTCTGTTATTCTTTTTGCCTGTGCTTTTATCTCTGTGTATGCCTCTCTCATTGTTCCCTTCCATTATCTTGTAGCCATTATTTTCATTCAACAGCTTGTACCTAAAAACCCCTTTTTGCTCTTCTTACCTGGCTTTGTTGTTTCCATTAATATACACCCATTTCAATTAAGGTTGCTTCAGAGAGGAATGATGCATGATCCATGTTTCATAGCCCACGCAGCATTAGCATTATTGTAGCATTAGTCTTATAGCATTAGTTTTTCTCTCTGGTAATATCCAAATGTAGCAAATTGTCAAAGAGTTTGCTTTGCTCGTGCACGTGGGAATTTTGGATGGAGTTTAAAAAAATCAAGTTCAAGACGTTTGTTGAACTACAACAAATAACTTAACATTACGCGTTTATCTATTTTTGAGGCAATTTTTTTTAAAACTGGTTAATAAAGGAATAGCGTTGATTTGCTTTATTGAAATAACCAGCATTCTGGCCCATCCAAAAACTTAGCTTAATCAGGTGGTAAAACCTTATTCATTTAATGCTGTTAAAAGAAGAGGCTTCTAATAATATTATTAATTTTCTTAAAAATGAAATTCTTAAGCTCGCTCATGCTTAAGAATTTTAGCAGCCATTTGACTTGGAAGCTCTCTTGAATGCCTTTTCACAAAATTTTTGGTAGCTAGAATAATTTATTTGTAGTCTCCACAGAAATATGGGTGGTGTGCAACAAAGGCAGACTGAAGACTTGCAGACTGGCAGGTAAATGAGGCACATGTTGTTGTGAAATACTCTAACAGGAATCTGTTAAAGAATTTCACAATAATGTGAACCTGGTTTACCTGCCAGTCTGCAAGTCTGCAGTCTGCATTTGTTGCACACTGCAATATGGGTGGGTGTCAGTTTCAGAACATGTAAAACTTATGGGGGGTCATTTCTATATAAAAAACTAGGATGAATTTGGAATCTTTCTCAAAATAGATGTCTCGCCCTTGCAGGTAATAAATGACCAGCCCCCAGAGCATACTCTTTGTATTTAAAGGAGCTGTGTCACGAAATTCAGCCAAATTAAGAAATTACAAAATGCCTGTCAAAATAAGAAAAACATATAAATAACCGCTTAAAACTTTAAAGGAAGGTTCAAATAACATAACAGGAACAACAGATGTCACGGATGGACAAAACTGAAGACGACTGAAACAGATTGAAATTAGGATTTTTGAAAACTGTTCAGCCTAACAGTTTTTCAAAGTTGATCCCTGCTGCTTGCAACTTCAAAAATAATGCTCAGGAGGCATATTTGTTTGTGTCTGGTCTCTGATTTTGTCAATTACATCTCATTTCTTTGCTTAATTTAAGTTCCATAGCGATTGAAGGCGAGTAATTGGCAAAATTAAACAAAATGAACTGGAATACCGTGACACAGCCTCTTTAACTCTTTTAATTTACCCTAAGATACATAATTTAATTTAAATTTACTCTAAATTGCATTTAGCTACATTTTAAATGTCCACTTAAAAGCTTATAAACATTTTTTTTGTCTCTGCACAAAGAAGATTATATTCTAAGGAACTTTTGCTGTTTGTGTTAACAGAATTTTTTATTATACAACATGAATATTGTTAAAATATTACTATTTTATCTAATTTTAGGTGCGACGTCCAAGGCCAACATGGAATATCCTCAAAAAGGGTACATCTATGTCCAAAGGTACTTATCTGTCAATTAACAGAGTTAGTTAAACTGAAATCAAATTTGACCTGAATCAGTAATCATTATATTACTGAATGAGGCTGAGTAAGATGTGAAGAAGATCAAGGTGTATATTTGTTATCCACTGAGGCTGAAGGCCACATCCTGCGAGATCTGCATAATTTTTCACATCATCCGAGAGCCAAATTCAATAATTATTGTTTTACACTTGTTCAATTTTTTTTTTTGCAATTCCATACCAATGTAATGGGTTCATTTTAGTCTCGTAAGGAGTAACCATAATTGAAGGGAACAGGACGAGTGATATGGAGGAAGACTAGTCCCCCACGCAGCTCCTTTTCTTGATTTCGCGTTTTGTGAAAATCGAAACCAAAACGTCTGTGTATGAGACTACGGAAGAAGCTTCAAATGGATGAGGCCTAACCTCTCATAAGCTCCTATAGTTTCTGTTTGGTCTCCTCGCTACTTCTTTTTTCTACTTAAATTCCTATAGAGTGTTTTCACTCACGTGGCCAGGATATATGCAAATTTATTGGAACAAAAGAAAGCGTTTACATAAGAAAAGAGTTCAACTCCCACAGGACTTGTTTGGGACACCAACATGGCCGCCGTTTCATTGTTTTGGGACACCAATATGGCCGCCGTGACGTCATGTGAAAACACTCTATATTATTTTAAATTCTGTACATTCTCTACCTGAATGAATGGCAATTTATGTGAAACAACCTGTAAGTGTACGCAAACTTGTAAGACGTCTGACCAACGAACCGCATTGTGTGATAATATGCAGGTCATTTCGTGTTTGATTTGTGAGCAGGATTCAAGAAGTTTGCGAACTAATAAACATTTCCATCCAAGGGCTATCAAGGCAAGGGAAGACGGGGGTGGGTACTCAATCATAATGGATTACCCCCTTCTCTCTAGTCCCCTACCCAGCCATTTTTTGTCAATCTTCATGCAACTAGACGACACACACACAAAAAGCTGCGTAAGGGAATACTTCCTCCATACCTCTCATCATGTCTCCTTCAAATAGTTCTCCTTTCAGACTAAACTGAACCCATGTATGGAATTCAGAAGAAAATTGAGCAAGAGTATAATATGAGGAGCCTTCAATCCTGATAATATAAATTGACAAAGTTTCATCCATTTAAGGTTCCTAAAATTTGTTTAGACCTCTGGTAAAATTCATCTTCAACAATTAGGGCGTTCCACTGGGGTAGTCCATGGACCGGGTCCATAAAGAGGTCCATGGACTAGGTCCACAGAGGGAGGTGGTCCATTTTTTGGTATACGTCCCTATTGAACGATATGTTTTGCATATTTATGCATTTCTTCCTTTCAGTGAGTTAGAAATTCAGCTGTTCTGTCTTTGGATAGCCGTGAACGCCATTTTTTTTTTTAGTTTACTCAGGAAAAAAAAGCTAGGCTGGCTGCTGCACCTGGAAACGAAACGAGGTTAAAGGATGGTGTATCATAATTATTTATACCACTGAATCGATGGTATACACATCTTCCAAACAATTTTATAGTAAGCACCCTCTGGTTATAAAGATCTATAAAGAATTAGTAAAATCCAACTAGTGGTCTATTATCAATGCTGCATTCTGACTGGTTGAGCTACTACTAGGCTATATATTATAGCCCACTAGTAGCGAAAAGCCCGGGCTTTTTGGCAGCAAAAAAGGATTAAAGTCTAGCTTTAACTAGCTAAAATAATTTGTTTATTCTCAATATTTTTGACCAACTAGTTGGATTTTACTAAAACAATTATTCCTCTCGCCCTCATGGCCTCTGAGTCAATAGCCCATTCGGCCTCATACACTATTGACTCAGAGCCCATTCGGGCTCGAGTAATAATTGTTAATTAGCCAGGGGACTGGAACCAATCAAAAAGGGCGAAATAGTTTGAATGAGTAATATTATGTACATTATGCAAGAGAACAAAATAGAATAGTTAAGTTATTGGTTGTATTTTAACTTAAGATAGTTATAACTTGTTGCTAATGTTGATTTGTGTTGTTTCCCAGGTCAGATGCATATGCTACAAACAGACTGGGTTAAGGCTTCACCATTTAGGATTTAAAGGTTATCTTGAGTACTGTAAGTGCTTTATAATTTACTTTGTAAACCAGCTTTTGAGTGAACCAGATAAACAAAATGTGCCTGTGTTGTTCAGAAGACAACTTATCTTATGCTTCTGTTCAGTTGCGCGACAGTTATAATAATGAATAATAGCTAAGTTTTGCTTTTGTTGAAACAATTTTACATCATTTTCATGTGTTAAATTTTTGCACACAGTCGTTGCGGTGAAGTTTCATGTTATCATTGATCAGTCAATTTAATTTCTCTTTCAACAAAGCTAATAAATATACTAAAATACTTCACACCAATAAAAGGTTCTAAACTAAAGATAACAACACAACAGTAAGCCAAGAAATACAGTTTGTTTCTGGAAGAAAAACCTGCAACTCAGAAAGGTGGCCTCAACTCAGGATCTCAAAAAATGAAAACGTTTTGGTTGAAATGAGCATTTGATCAGACAACAACTTTGTTTAAACTCAACGGATGATCAACCAAATCTTGTTCAAAATTTTTCAAAATTCAAAATTCAAAATTTGGAAGCTAAAAATATCAAATTTTGTTGGCACTGTGGTTAGGAACTTTGTTCATTTCCTCATGAGTTTTTGCTTGCATAATTGACATCACTGATAACTAATACACCAAATTGTGTTTTTTGTATCAAATTTTCCCTCTTTTTAACATGGAAGGAAAAGAGATGTAAAAATGACTGGCTCATACTGTTAACACCACTGATTTATTGACTGGCTGACTGACTGACTGATTGGCATGCTGATGGACTGACTGACGTACTCACTGACTGTTTGACTGGCTGACTGACTGACTGACTTACTGACCAACTGACTGACTTACTGATTGACTAACTATCTGACCTACTGATTGACTGTTCAACTGGCTGACGCACTGACTGACTTACTGACTTGCTGACTGACATACTTACATGCTGAGTGACTGATTAACTGACATGCAGAATTACAGATGGTCTTTCTGAGATAGTCATGGGCAGATTAGATGATTGTTGCTGAAATTGCAAGCTAACTTTCTGACTATTTGAGTCTTGCCAGTTCTAGATCTTTTGCACTGTTTTCTGACCGACCGATGATGAAAGAGATGTGGTTGACTTTTTGATTACCTGTTCAGACTTACAATCGTGACTGAATCAATACAGGGTAAGGGTGTGATTATGGACTAACTAATCGGCTGACTGGGTTAGTCACTGGCTAACTGACTGACTGACTGACTGGAGAATTGGCCACCTGACTCTATTGATTGAGTTCTGATTGGAAGGCGTACCGACCAATTCACTGCCTGGATGTTTTCACAGGCAGTATATTCTATTGGACTATTTAAACTGAAACTAAGGATGCACTGGCTGACTGTACTGTCTGGGGTCTATTCAGCTGACCCACTGACTGAATGACTTGGTATTAACTGACTGACTGTCTTTAGACTTGATGACTTAACTCCTCAACTCACTGACTGTTTGAGTTTACTGTGTGGTGTCTGACAACCTAATGCACTGACTGAGTGATGTAGAGTGGACTTCCTGACTGTCCAAGGACTTACTGACCATAACAGGTGACTGAATGATGTGGAACTGCCTTGTGGACTGTTTTAGGGCTTACTTAAGCTCATTCATTGTCCCACTGACTCTACTTTTTGGCAGCTGACTGGCTGACTGTCTAACTCTTTGACTCGATGAATGACTTGCTAGGCTGACAGGGTGACTGAATGATGTAGAACTGATTTGTAGGCTGTTTGAGGGCTTACTTAAGCTCACTCATTGTCTTACTGAAGGACTGACAGGCTGACTCTACTGTCAGACTCATGGGCTGACCCTACTCTCTGGGTTTAAACTAATCTGGGGTGATCACCCAAATCATGTTCTAAATTTTTCAAAATTCGAAATTCGGAAGCAAAATTATTTCAGATTTTGTTTGAACTGTGGTTATTGATGGTCTACCGGATTACCATATGGAGAGAATCAGCTGATATAGAGGAAATAGAATATTCTTCTCTGACTCAGGAGAGGAAAGTTAAACTCAGTGCTTTTAGTCCATGACAAACAAATGTCTTTTATAGTGAAGGATACAGAAGTTTCAGTTTTAACTTGAAGAAATGTTCCCTTTGCATATTGTTGATATGAATTCTATATCAGTTTAGTTTTAACATTATGAGCTGACGTCAACGATGTATGATAGTTTCAGGCATTCCATTTTTCCTTTGTTGTTGATTGCCTTAACATGATGAATTTGTAAATGTACGAAGATATTAGTATTGTACATATTAAAAATTTGACCATGGATTGCAATTGGAAAATAAGGGCGTTCGGGATGTCGCTACTTTTGGGGGCTCAACCAGGGTTGTCAAAAGTAGCCAGCTGCCGGCGAAAATTTCCACGTACTAACTTGGTTAGTATCGGCTGGCTACTCTGCTTGGCATTTCTTTACGGATGGTGTTTTTTAAATAAAATATCCCTGGACTGGCGGCTTACTTTGACAACTCAGCCGTCTACTTCAAAACTTTCTGACAACCCTGCTCACCATTTTCAGGATTTATTAAAAGTCAGAAACTTTTGACGTTACTTTCAGGGGTCGTAACTTTCAGGGGTCATAACTTTCGGGGGTTCCCTACTATGGAAACTTTATGGTAATGAAATTAGGATGACTGATGTTTTATTTTTGCATTTTATTGGTGCCTTCATAGTCGTATTTCCATAGTATTGTTACTGTACCTAACAATATTATTACATGTTCTTTAGTATTTATTTACTGAAAATGTCCAGTGGAAGACGCAGGGTAATGGCATTTCTGAGACTCTAAATTTAAAAATTTTTCTGCCCCTTCTGACCCCCTGTTTGTACACCTGCAAAATGTCACACATGTCCCAGGACATCAAATTTGACCTGAATCAGTAATCATGTACATTAAGTAA